AAAAAAAAAAAAAAAAAAAAAAAAAAAAAAAAAAAAAAAAATTTAAATTGTTCTACATCCTCCCCAGTGCTAGCCATACAAGCACATGCCCCCACACCTGGCTGGTAAATTGACTTTTGACATGGGAAAGAATCTTTTCAAATGATATTAGAACAAAACCTATAACTAAGGACAAAAAGACAAATTATTAGAGGAGCCTTATAGAAGGATCAAAAAAAAAAAAAATGTGACAGACTGAGACAGGAAAGTCTTGAGATGCAGTATATAGACACATAAGCAGGCAAACACCCAAAGACATACACTTAAGATTTTGTTTGGTTTTGGTTTTGGTTTTTTGAGACAGAGTTTCTCTGTGTAACAGCCCTGGTTGTCCTGGAATTCACTCTTTATACCAGCCTGGCCTTAAACTCAGTGATTCACCTGCCTCTTGGGAGCAAGTACTGGGATTACAGGCATGCACCACCACCGCCCAGCCACATAAATTTTTTTAAAAAATCTAAAAAAATACAGCACACACACAAACATAAAAATTGGCTGTATCTAAGTAGAGGTTGCCATAGAAAATGCACTAGGCTAAATATTTATTACACATTATGTGGACATGCATCTTTCACTGCTGGCAGCAAAAGTATCTCAACAGACAGGAGAGCAGGAACACAGTTTGAGAGCTAAACTCACCACAGGATCTCTGAAGCGCCACTCAGTAGGTCTTCAAAAGAATCCCAAATTGCTTTTACCTGGGTGGGGAATGGTTGGTAGGGGAGGCCCAATCTCAAGCTGACTCCAGGCACTAACAACTGTCAAATAAAAAGCAAATCCCAGTTTAGGTAAATCTAGATTCTACATAGAAAGATTATTGCAGTGGGTAGGGAAGGGATGACCCAATGCAATGAGGAATACTATTGCCTTAGGGTGGACTTGCTAATGTCAGATAAAAACCAAATCTAAGATAGGCGGGAGCATAGTTTAGTGGTAGAGACACACCTTGTCTAGAATGTAAAGAGCTATGATTCTGTCTCCAACCACAGCTCTAGATTTTGATTTAAGAGACTGTTGTAGCCGTGTAGTGGCACACACCTTTAATCCTAGCACTCAAGAAATTGAGGCAGGTGCCTCCAGACTGGTCTACATGGTGAGTTCCAGGACACATGGTTAAGACCCTGTTTCGAAAAAGAGACTATTGTATACAGGGAAATCTAAGAGATCTGCAACCTGTTCCTAGACAGATAAGGGCTTTCCTTTTCTTTCTTTTTTTTTTTGGGGGGGGGCTCTTTTCTTCTATAGGGAAGAATAAATAAAGCCAGAAAGACCTGGGTGAAAGAAAGTGGGACCAACCAACAGTAGACATTGGACCAAACAGGACTTAAGAGTTTTGTTTATTTCAAGGTCAACATACTTTCTGGAGTAGCAAAAAAAAAAAAAGTGGTGTGTGTGTGTGTGTGTGTGTGTGTGTGTGTGTGTGTGTGTGTGTGTGTAAGAGAGAGAGAAAGAGGTGCTTCCTGGCTCAAGCTGACGGTGCGCCTAAGTTTGGGAATCGGGAGCCAAACATGCTTCACTGAAGTGTAGTGATGTCAGGGCAGTTGGTTTTTGACGACATAGTGATTACAAGCAGTTCTGCTAATCATTTATAGAGATCGGGAATCTATACGCCTTGACCGTGTCTTGAATAAACAGGGAGGCATCTCGGAGTCTTATCTAAATCCTATAGGAAGTCGACTCCTGAGGCAGAGGCAGGAGGATCTCTGTGAGTTCGAGGCCAGCCTGGTGAACAGCGAGTTCCAGGACAGCCAGAGCCACACAGAAAAACCCTGCCTCGAAAAACAAAACAAACAAATAAATATAAATACACAAATAAATAAATCCTACAGGGAAGAGTGGTCTTTGTGGTAAGCCCTTTCAAGAACGCAAAGAGCGAGGGAGTTTCTTTAACTGTCACTCTTCGGATAATAGGGCTCGGGTGAAGTTCACTGACAAGGAAGCAGGGAAATCTCTCCGAGGAAGGGAAAAGGCACAGAAAGAAATAGGTCGACGCTGGATTTTCTCAGGTGAACGCCCACCTAGCTCCTGGCATTTTCCGTGCCTCCTAAGGAGGCAACAAGCAGCGGGGCGGGCGGCAGGGAAGAGA